CTTTGTTTTCACTTCTACAATTTAAAATCTAGGGTTTTTACCAGGGACCCGTTTCAGTCAGGTCCCTTCAGTACAACTGTACCTTTTGCTTCAGAGATTTAAATAGAACCAGGGAAAGATCTGTCTCCTAGCTATTCTGTTTTCAAAGTCAAATAACTAAAAATAAATTGATTTTTTTATTTGAAAAGTGTGATCTGAAGGTTAAAGCAAGCAAATATTTGCTCACAGGTACTTTTGTGTCCTCCATTATCAAAGTGCTAGACAGTTTTAAACTTATTTATGCTCACTGAAACCCTATGAAAGCTTCTGTTAGCCCTATGCTGCACATAAAGAATTGATGTTACACAATTTAATCAAAGTAAACCAAAACATTCTGTTACTGGACTCCTGAGATTGAGATTAGTGCCCTAAAAACATCCTATTCTTCCTGTAAAGAATGAAGCTTAAGGCAAAAAGTTGATTAAGTAAAAAAATTAATTCAGAAATAGAGGAAGATCTAGTAGATACATTTAATAGACAGACCACTGTAAAAAAAAAAAAAAAAAAAAAAAGTTTTAAAGAAAAGCTATTGCCTTCCTCATTTATACAGAAACTGTGTAATGAAAAATTAGACAAACACTTTCTATCTCACTCAAGAGGAAAAAAACAGCAAGGGAACATTTTATGAACTGGATTTTAAATCCATTATTATTATTTCATTAAATTAATGCATTTTGCTATGCATGAACAATGACTAGATCAGCAGTGTTTTAAAAAAGATGATACTTAGAGCATTTCTGGTTTCCTGTTTCACTAACTACCCAGGATTTAATTTGGAGAGTTCACATCTCCCTTTCAATAAATGATTTCAGGATTAATTGCAGGGATAGGCAGAAAAGAGGATGAATCAACAATTTTTCATTCAGGAGCTCTTTGTGTTATTAATTTTGATTCCCCTTCTTGTATGGCTTCTTGTGTCACATCTCACTTTACACTGCCTTTAATGTAATTAAAAGTGTCTTCCATGTCAGATCTGGTTTTGTGGAAAGAATCCAATTAATGTCATCATCAAAAAGCTCTCAGAGAGAATTTTTAAAAATGAAATAACAACTAATCAAAGGGAATTTCAGTTTAATGCCCCTAAAGCAGATGTAATTAAATCCCTTCATATGGAACCGTGTAGTTAGTCTGATTCCATGTACATTAGCAGCAGAAAACGTGAATTTGAGAGGAATTTTGACATAGATATACTAAATTGTGATTCTATCAAAGAATTAATCTAACAAATCATAAAGGCAATTACTCTTTACCTTCCCAAAAGTTGCAGCACAGGCAGGTTCCAGCTTCTCTTTCCTGCAGAAGTCTAGATAATGTGCATACAGGATGCATCTTGGTAAACAAACTCCTTCACAGACAATGTAGTTTTCTTCCAGCCTGTACAGAGAAGGAAACTGCCAGAGTAAGAAGCAACATGCTGTGTCTCCCACTTTTATTTTTCCTCTGGGTTTTCATACTGCTCTTTTTTGTGTTTGTGTTTTCTTTTTTTTTTAACTTTACTGAAGACTTTCCAGAGAGCACACAGATAAGTTTCTCCTGCACAAGACAGACACTACAGACTGACTCCACACTTGGTGCTTAGGTTGGCTGCAGAGTATGGAAAACCTGGGGCCAGGCCCCTTTTCTTAAGAAGTCCTTTGCAATGTCTGGACTGTTTTGCTTTATCTAAAATACTAAATGATCATAAGCTAAGAATGAGCCTTGCTGTGAAAATAAGAACACTACATTATGGAAGACTTGGGTTTAAGTGTGTCCTTTGAATAGAGGAGGGGCTTGAACTTGCATGTTCTGTCCCACTGTATCTTTAACACCTGGGTTACTGTATATTTTTCTTCCTAATTTTGCTTTTTAATTTCCACGCTGGACCCAAAACTGTTTCTAGAGCAACCCTTACTGCAAAGCAAACTACTGGATTTTTGTGAAGGGGGGACATTTTTATGTAGCTTCCCCAATCAGTCTGCAGACTACAAGTGCCTAATGATAGTCACTAAAGTAAAATTTTTAAAACTGAAGTAAAAGACTGGCTGTCTTCACTTGAACTGAACTTTTGGTAACAGCTGGGTATTTCAGCCTTGCTTTGTTTGTCTTCTTTATCAGTTCATATCATTTGCTACTCCTAGGATGATGTGCAATAAATTTTTTTCTCAAATTTCACAAATTTGTAAGAAAATACTGTGTAGTAAATGCTGCACAACGAATAATTTTGCATTGACACATCAGTCTCAAATCCTTACAATTTACGCTCAGATGTCAGATGTAAATTAGACTAAGAAACCGGGTAATTTGGATTATTCTCAGCTTTCAGTTAGAAGGACAAAATACAGATTTACAGCTTGCACTTGGTAAGTAAGTTCCCACTTAATTCAACAGCCCTACTCCCTAATTTCCAATGTGCTTGAATAAAAACATTTATCAGTTAATGCCTGCAGAATTTGACCCCTTTATTTGGTTAATTTTTGCCCAAATAAAATGAGGTCAAGTTAGGGCTTCCATGGATGGTAGAATATAGTGAAAAAAAACGCATTATAACAGAGTGAAAATCTAACATAGTCTTAAAGGATAATTAAAACATCTGCTCATAGATGTGACTCTTAAGTCACGTTTCATTCATTCAATTCCTACATTTTTTCAATACATTTTCGATAGCCACGTACTGTGAGAATCTGACAGGGCTTTCTGTTCATCAGTTGACCTTTGCCAAGGCAAAAAAGTTAGAAATCTGGGGGCGGATGTCCTTATTTGTAGAAAAAAAACCAAACCAAACAATTAACCAAACATCTCACAACCCCAGAAATCAGAAATATTTCTAAAAGAACAGTGAGCTGCAGCTCTCCTGGCTGGCTCAGCTTTTAAAGACAAGTCCCTCTGGACCTGAGGACACCCC